ATCACACCAAATCGTGTAGTCGATTTTCTAAGTTAACCCTAGCCGAACGGAATCCTTGTTATAATCACATGATTATCACACAAAATCGTGTTAAAATAAGCGATAACCATAATAGCCCATTATGTGATCCCGAATTATAGGGTTTAGTGTGATCATGTTTTTAAAATTTTATTACTTTGAATTCCAATATTAATTTTCTGTCCCTCAAATTTTTTTGAATTGTTTTTTATTTCATTTTTAATTTAATTTTTTTTTTAATTTTTATGTTATCATAATACGAGGTTAATAGGTTGTTCTTGCATGTTCGCAAATCACATGGGTTCTCGTTTGAACCCTTCCCTATATGTATATGTATATGTGTATGTGTATATATATATCTATATACACAAATCACATATACATATACACACACATCATATGCATATACATATATATATATATATATACACGTATGTACATCACATGTACATGTGTATATATATAAGGTTGGGTTCCGGTGAGAAGTAAAGATAAGATGAAAAACGTAAGACCTGATTTCCACCATTAGATGCACATCAGGATGGGATGCACCGGATCAATCCCCGTATCAAGCATGATTCATGGGTGGGTTTGAGATTACTGGTGACAAAGATTCAGATCTCTTCTTACGCTTCTCTCCTTAATTTTCCTTCTCACACGATCCTTCACCTAATTGACACCAACGAGTAAAATCTCTTTGTGCTTCAGGACCCCATAGTAATAACAAAGAATGTACTAAACTATTTGCAAGAGTAGAAACTACAACAATTCGAATTTCATTTACTAAGCAAAAAATAAAAAACTGAAGAATACCCTGATAAGCGTAAAAATAAAAAATTGAAGAATACCCTGCGATAATTCCCCCCCCCCCTCTCTCTCTCTCTCTCTCTATATATATATATATAGAGAGAGAGAGAGAGAGAGAGAGAGAGAGAGAAGGGGGGTTCAGGAGAAAACCTCAAAAAATAAAAAACTGAAGAATACCCTGGTAAGCGTTCATTTTGGACCGTATGAACATGTGMATATAAGTAATTGAACATGTTTTCTGGTTTTATGCATGTGTGCATGTTATATACCTACATACATCGAATAAATTGCTTACAAATTACTTGTATGCATATGTGCATATGGTTCAGATAAAAGGTTATCAGAGTGTTACTCAGCTTTTCATTTTTTTGAGGTTTCCCCCTGAACCTGACCATATATATATATATGGGAAAACCATAAAAATAAAAAACTAATGAACACCATAACAACTATTCATCCGTATGATACGTACATAAGTAATTTATAAAAAAAATTCAGTATACACACATGCATAGAAACCCAAAAACACCTATGATTACTTATATACATATATGTATACCATACATGTCAACCATCATTAAAATGTTACCTGATTTTTCAATTTTTTACCGTTGTCCTTTTCATACATCTCTCTTTGTAGACATGTTGAGAATAATATAGTAAAAATAATATTAATTAAACAAATAAAAAAAGTAGAACTTGTTATCATGTCGTTATCAGATGCTAAAATCAATGGCATCTTTAGCGGATATAACATCATTGGGTTTTTTTTTGCTTCATAAAAACATGTATTTAATCACATTTTTTCGTTATTTAAATCAGTTACGTTATTTTTATTAGTTTATTCAACATAAATAGTAGTAAATAATTATTTGAACATACAACTAAAAATTGTGAAATCACAATAATTTTTATATTAAATAATAATTCATGGACAAACTTGCCACGTCATAAAGAGAGTAAATGTCATAATTGTGTTTGTAAATGGGCTACCTACTTCTACTATACAACTTGTTTTATTATATACAAGTCTAAACTAGCATCATATTTTCGATATCGTATGTTATATGGGGTAACTTAAAAAAATTAAATCATGTCAGGAAACTTATCTTATAGATATGAATGATCATCGAAAATACGATTCTACTATAGACTTGTACTCTTGAAATAACTCAGAAGAATGACTCTTCAGACTTGAATTTAGAAATGAAACTATATCAATAATTAGTTAAAATGAAGTTAACTCTAGAATAAAATACCACACAAATTAATTAACCAAATAATAAAATCAATTGCATCCTAAATTAGTGAGATTTGATTGAATAAGAGAACTCTTGTCGATCAAATGAGTCTAATTGAACTGCTAATATAAATTGTGTCTAGATACGTTCAAATGAGTCTAATTGAACTGTTAATCTAAATTGTGTCTAGATACGTATTTAGACGGGAAAACATTAAAATCGGCTCACCAGAAGATGACACTTCCATCAACCATTGGATTGATCCAATATATGTGATTAAACAAACATTTATAACAATATCTTTTAAATTAAAAAAAAACTTGCACCGCTATTTTTGATTCGAAAAAAACACAATCTAAATAAAAATCAAGCGAAATAAAAAAAAACAGGGGGTGAGTTTTTCGTTAATTTAAAAAAATATCGGTTTAAACATCCATTTAACCATATTCGTTGAAGCAATTAATCTAATGTTTGATGAATATCATTTTTTCATGAACCGTACTCTGTGTGTGTGCATGTGTGTATACGTAGATAATATATATTTTCTGAAAGAAAGTATATTATATGTTAAAATTAAACTTTATTAAGTATAACAATTAATTAATTTAATAAACTTAAAGTATAAAAAATTAACAATTTTTTTATTTTTTAGATTTAATTATGGATTTAGTTTCTTGTGGTTTGTGTAGGTTTTTTTTTACGTAATTGGTCCCTTGAGTAAAGATAAAAAAAGAAAAAAAAGATGAAAATACTCTCAAGGTTAACGAAGGAATTGGATGACCGTTAGACCGAGGAACCAATTCATTTCAAGACAACATACCACGATACCTAATATGTAATAAATGAAATTTAGGGACTATTTTTGTAAAAACCACCAAACTATAGGGACCAAATCTATAATTTACTCTATTTTTTTTCCTTTGTGTTTGAAAGAGAAAGACAAGGAAAAGAAAAGAAAGAATTGTGTTTGATGTTCTTGAACAATGAGCTAAATGAAAAATATCATTTTTATAAATATATTTTTAAAAAAATATATCTTTTATAATGAAAGGTAGGGTATTTTTGTAATTTTAATAAAAAAAATTTCTTCTATGGCTATCTTCCCACATTTTCAAGAAAAATTATGGGAGGAAATTTATCATTATTTTTCTTCTCGTTCCTTTCATTTCCTCCTAAAAAGGTTTCAAAAACACGAGTTTTTTTTACTTTCCTTTCTTTTCCTTTATAAAAATGATTTCGAGAACACAACGTAATCCCATGCCATGAAAATAAAAAATTTGTCTCAGAATATATTTAAAAGGTTAGAGTATCTTTAACTTTTTTTTCAAACGATGATTTTAAATATTTTTTTAACAGATTCTTATTTTAAGATTCTCTAAAACTTTCTTCAAACCGGAGACAATACGAGAAAGATGATGAAAATCTTTAAATTTGAGGACTTCACCAAAAATGATTATTTAAGAAAGAAAATTGATTTTTTTAGGGTTTAGGGTTTTTTTATTAATCTTGTCAATGAGAATTCAGGAGAGATAAATAGTACTTTATAAATTGTATTGTATATTTTAAAAATATAAATAGCATTGTAATCTTCAAAATGGAGAAATACTTTGAAAGAACCTAAATTTTTCTTAGAAATTTTAACTTTAATTCTTCTTTTGGTGCACTTAATTTATTAATTGATTTTAATTTTAAACATTTTTAATAACGACGTAATAAAGAACCATTAAGAGCACCGAACAATATCATTTCTCCTGAACTTTTCTCTTTCCATGATGAGAAGAGTAATAAGAAATCCTCATATTGAATTAATCATAATTGAAAATTTTAACTAGATCAATGCTAATGAGAAATATCATATCAATGTTAATGAAAAATATTAGATCAATTTCCTTTGATTCAAGATTGGTTTGAGATAAAAAGCATCAGTTTTTTTACACTTTTATAAGTGTGTATATAATAGGAAAATCTAACGTAAGTCTTCTTTTTTGTTTCTTGCACCGTTTTCATTGGATAAAGATACCTGTAATGTACGGTACAGTCATTTAATGAAGAAGGTCCCTTCGACACTGGCTGTTTCCTTTTCTAACAGCTCTCACATTTTATGTCACTATACGTTATATATACATATATATATATATATATAGATAGAGAGAGAGAGAGAGAGAGAGAGGGGTATTTCGTCACCGCCTTTTAGAAGGTCCCATTAATATGACGACGACGAAGAAAGAACTCTCTCTTCGTCTGTCTGTGTCATCAATATTTGAACATTATTGTCTCTCTATCTCTCCCTTTTTCTCTCTCTCTCTCTAGATGTAAGTATACATATAGATGCTACGATGCATGCATGATTTAAAGTAGGCATTTAGTGGGAGCCGTAAGATGTGTAAGTTTTGAGAGTACTCATTGCATGTTACCATCTTAAGAAGCCACCTCTCTACCCTCCCCTCTCTCTCTTCCTACGTTTCTATCCATCCCTCCACACAACTCTCTCTCTCTCTCTCTCTCTCTCTCAGTGAGACACAGAGATTTTATAAAAGAGTCAAGGTGCTTAGCCAAAACCCAAGAGAGATTTAGAGAGAGAGAGAGAGTCAAAAGAGGCGTGAAAAAGGTAGGGCATATTGTCAGTATGTGTATGATCCAACTCCAATTCTCTTCTGGTCTCTCTCCAGGACCAGATTGCGACCCTTCCATTCGCTCTAACATATTCTTCTAACCACTGTTTATTTGTCCACCTTTCATCAACTCTTACATACCTTTCACTCCCCCCCCCCCCACACTCTATATATACCCATATATATCTTTTATATATATATAATCTGCAGCTACTATAATATATAATATATACTATATACACGTTGAAGAAGAAGTGGAAGATTAATTGATTGATCCAAGAATTGGTACGTACGTAGGTAGCTGGTGATCATGGATCGTATTATGGAGTGGAATAGTGGGAATCCCAGCAGCAGACCATTTATTCCTCGATCTGCACCACAAAGTTCCTTTGCCTTTCTCTACAACTATAACAATGATCACTACGTATACCCACCTGGTAATTCAATTACCATTTCATTTCTTTCTTGAATCTTTGGCCCAATTAATGGTCTTTCGGTTCCAATTCTTTTGTTTTGATTGATCATGTGCATGTTGCCATCTTCATTCTGAGATGAATTTCTTTGTTTGTTTAGGGTTCCACACTGATATCATCTCTATGTGTCAATTATACATATAGAATCATGTGATGGTTAACAACCCACACCTTATCTTTCTTTTACTAGTCCATGAACTAATTTTACTCCTTGAATTGTTCAAAATTATGTTATATATATATATATATAATTTCAAAATATATCTTGAGACAAGGACACATGAGCTCTATGATACATGTGTTACAAAACTGGAAGACATATATAATGGTACTAATCTATATAAAGTATCATGCGTGAAGTTGTTTCATAATAAGCAGGACAATAATGCATGCGGGATATTGGTTCCTGCATGTTTAAAGATTCTCATGTTATATCGAAGGTAAGAATGGAATATTCATATGTGAATTATTGAAAAAATCTATTTGAAGATGCATTAGTATGTAATGTTGGTTCACATATGCATTTTCAAATTGATTTTTTTCTATTTTTTCAATGATTTACATGCACTTTAACCTTCTGTTCTTGTCTTCACTCACAATATTTAGTCTTCATATTTAAACCTCACCCCCCACACACACAATACGTATATATATGTGTGTGTATGTATATACAGACAGAATTGAAGTAATTAGGGTTGAATTATATAGATAATGTTTGTGAAATTAATCAAGTAAAATGTAAACAGGAGTGGGGGAGATGAAGCATCAGATGATGCAGGGTGCAGTACCAGCAGGTGCATTAGCAATGATGGAAATGAATGCAAATGAATATGATAACAACAATCAAGAGAAGAAGAAAAGGTTGAGCAGTGAACAATTAGAGGCACTGGAAAACACTTTCCAGGAGGAGAAGAAACTGGACCCTGATACCAAAATGAAGTTGGCTCATGAACTTGGTCTTCAGCCAAGGCAAATCGCTGTGTGGTTCCAGAACCGACGTGCTCGATGGAAGGCTAAGCAACTCGAGTGCTTGTACGACAACCTTAAACAAGAGTTCGATGCCGTCTCCAGGGAGAAACAAAAGCTTCAAGAAGAGGTATAATATATACACACATTTATAAAGTCATGTGCATGAGTAAGAAAATGAAAAATTGAGAAACACCCTAATAACGATTCATCTATACAGTTTGTACATGTGCATACAAAGAAATTTGTAAGTAATTTTTCCATCATGCACATGTGCATGTAGAAACCAAGAAACAGATCCAATTATTTCTATGTAAATGTGTACATACCATATAGATGAACGCTTTTTAGGGTTTTCTCTTTTTTTCCTTCATTTTTTAGGTTTTCTCGTGAACCTCCTCTTATATATATATAGGCGAAAGATCTTAAGATCGTGTGAGAATGAGAGTTAAAGTACCCACCCATGAATCGCGTTTGATAGGGGAATTGATCTAATACATCTCGGTACATCTCATCCTAACGTACATCTAAAGTTGGAGATCACTTCCTATGTTTCTCACTTTAACTCTCCTTCTCACCAGAACCCAACCCTATATATATATATATATATATATATATATATATATATATAGACACAAGTATAGTATAAGAAGTAAGTTATATATGATGAGAAGCGTTAAAAGATATATGAATTTTTGATCACTTTCAATCTCATGTCCATCCATGAATTGTGCTTTAGAAAAGAATTGATCTGATGAATCTTGGTGCACCTGATTAGTGTTAGATTTAATTAAGGTTAATTTAACACTTTTACATATGACGTACAATTGTATGGTCCTGTTAACTTAAATCCTTGTAAAATAAACTATAATTGTTTGATCCTAAAAAAACTAAATCCTATAAAACAGTCTAATAATCTGAGCTATATTTTGCTTTTAATTCGTTTAATATTGTTAAAATACAAAATTTGAAGGTGTTAGCGTTGAGAACCATCCTGAAAGAACAAGTTAGCAAGAGACAAGGAGCAGGGTCTAGCACTGGGTACACTTACATCTCCGGCGAAGAGACCGTCGAGAGCACATCAGTGGCCACCATTCGCACCACCACCAACCACCACCCTCATCAACTAACACTCGGCGGCCAACACGCCACAACGACCACCGCCGCCGCCGCCGCCATGGACTGCAACTACGTGCTAAACTATGATCCGGCCACATCGATGCCGCCGACTCCATCTTACTCTAATTGGGCAGTTCTTCCTACTTATCCTTAAAATTTCCTAGTTATTTGCTTACGTCACCTGAGGTAGATCAAATAATATATAGTTTTTGTTTTTGTTTTTGTTTTAGTGTTTGAAAGATCAGTAAACGTTACTTGTATCAGGATTATTGTCGTCTTCATTATTTATTTTATTTATTTGTTTGATTGATTTTTTTTATGAAATTCAAAACCAAACATTTCACCATTTTATATTTTAATTAAATTACTAATTATTCGAATAAAAAGATATATTTTTGTAACATTTCATAAAAATCGTATATAATTAATTAATTTTTAACTATAGATCGAGAGAGAAAATGTTCATATTCGTGTTGGTGTTTATAAATTAATCGGAAAAACAAGCACGGATCCTTGTGCAAGTCGGTGGCACTGATAAGATATTAGAAGTTAAATTTAAGTTTTTTTATTAACCTAGATATTCAACCCGTTATGCGAGGCGACTAATCCTAGTGTGACCACCTGCTTTGCAGATAGCCCAGAGTCACCGCATTTGAACTTCCGTGGCCACAAGGGGATTTTTATTTCTCCTTAAATTTGAACCTAAGACCTCTTGGTGCATTTAACCTTTGGAGTCAAACTCAAACCAATCAGACATCACCCTTGTAGTTAACGATAACGGAATATAAGAATATATGATTGTTTTTTGGTGTAATTTGTTTTGATTCTATTTATTTTTGTATTTTGTTGGTTTTCAAATTAAAAAGTAAGGAAAAATATTTATATTTAAAAAAGATACGGTTATAACCATCTTTTGAATCAAAGTTGTATTATCTCAATCCAACGGTATAAAATGGATTCATTGATTTTTTTTTTCCAGGGTTCACTGTAATCTCATTCCATGTATAATGCAAAAAGCGTGAGATCGACAATTTCCATCAATGGCATGAAAATTTCCCCTATTTCAGATATAATATTAAACTTTTATCAAGCATACCAAAAACATCGTCGTATATAAATAATAATACTTGTGTCATATAGCTAAACAATATTCTAAAATCTAATATTTCAAAACCCTAGTTAATTTACCCATGGTCAAAAATTAAAGTGCAAAACTAAACCATGGTTCATTACTACCCAGTTCTTATACTCCTATATATTCTATACAATTCTTTTTTCTCCTAACTTCCTCTGCCTGCATTTTCTTCATCTTTTCTGGTACTACTACTACTACTGACTGCTACAAAAGTCAAGAAATCCCATGAATTCATGGTTTTGTATCATTCTGATGCTTCTATCGATCCCGATAACCCCTGCATTTCAATCAAACTTTGTCAATCATCGTGTTATAAGCACAAAATACATCAAGAATTAAAAAACTGGATTTACAAAGTTATCGTACGTACCCATTGTAAGAGCACTGGCAAAGATGACACCCGAAAGAATGAAGATGATAATTGAAGCTCTCTTTAGAAAAGCCACAAGTTTTCTTATGAAGAATTGACCCCAAAACCCGGCCAAAATGGATACAGACATCAGGTATAAAGCTGCAAGCGATCATCAAAAATATTATTCATCATAAATGTGTATATATATTCCAGTTTTCATCAATAGAATGGATTGAAATTGATACCATGAGGAATTGGGAATCGGTTCAGAAGGTAAAACTCAACCACTGATAATGAAGATGAAAACATCATCACAAACGTAGCTGTCGCACTTGCAACCTATACAATGCCACAAAAAACACGAAACTGAAGCAAGCAATCATGCTTTTCAAATATTACAATTATATAGGGTCCAATCGTTAAACAACCTTTTGCCAGGATTTTTTAAAAAATCACGAGCTTCGGTGTTTAATAAAAGACCCTAAATTTAGTTTATGGGTAGAGATGGCTAAAATGGGCCCAGCCCAGCTTAGGACCGGGACCGGGTCTCGGCATCTCTACTTATGGGTACCAAAAGCACTCTATTTGGTTGATTCAAAGTTGCACATAAGTTGCTTAATTACCTGTGGTATGACACCAATCTCGAGTAAGAGTGGGCCGAGGATGAACCCACCACCTGAACCCAAGAGGCCACCCACGGTGCCACCCAAGATCCCACAAAGTGCACAAAACGTAAGGTGAGGAGCGGTCCAATCAATTGAAGCCTCACACACCGCATCAGTGTTCCCCATGCTTTTCCTCTTCTTGCTTTCCTTGTACAACTTAACACATTCATATGTGAATACTGCCAGTGCTACAGGGAACTGCAAGAAACACACAAATAGGCATGTAAGAATGTTGGGGGCAGTTCTACCAACAGGATATGCATAATGAAGATGCATCATTCAGCTACAAGTTACCTGTATTACAGTGACTACCCAGTAAGATGTACTGCATGCTACTAACCCATTCTGCACAAAGATATAAACATCACAATCTTTATCGATTTTGAAACTAAAACAAATCTGTTTTTACTCTTGAAAGTAAAAAATAAATGCTAATTGTAGGATGGAGATGATAAAGAGTGTAAAAACTGCATGCCTTAATGATCTGAAGAGCTAGAAAAGCAGCCCATACGACTATTAAAGCCGTAAGCATCTTCCAGCGTAAGTTGAACCGAAGAATTTGCTGCAAATTTCAGTAGAAAAAGATTTAGACGTGAAGAAAATGACTTAATTAAAACGGAAAAACATTATAATTATAAATGGTCACCATTGGTGTCTTCTCCTCTTTAGGAATCAGTGGCTCTGTGTCAATCAGCACTAAGAACGAAAAAACATACAAAAAAAAAAGAACAAGTTAACAAAACAACTCCAAATTCGAAAACTTGCACTTTAGAACTAAAAAGATTCATGGGACTTACATTCCCCTCGAGAATTGACGAACGACTCCTGTGGCCTTTCCATTTCTTTCTGTCATAATATCAGCAGGAAAAAAGGTAATCGTAAGATCGGATTTTCTTAATTTTATATTTCTAGTTGCTAAGTGAATAAAATCGTTTTCACCTTCAATATTGTCTCTTCCTTCCACATCTCAATTGCCTTAAAGAAAGATCTTAAAGATGTCCCTATTAGCAATACACATAACAATTCAGAAACATAAGCCTCAACAGTTTTTAAGGCTAATCCCGGCAAATTATGACAGCAAGAAATCAGTCCTGTTAAACTCAGTGACCTACAATTGTTGTGTATGCCTAGAATCGAACCCTGGACGGATGAGGTATTCCACCACATCCTTAGGGCCTCAACCACAACGTCACAACCCTTGTGGTTACCCTCAAGAGCTTACATACAGAACTCAGATAACTATTCATTATGAATCATATAACCAAATTAACAGACTTGGAGTTTGAACTCTAACTTCAAGAAAATCCCAAAATAGAAATTTGTGGTATCATAAAAATATTTAATGGGTATTAAAAATTGAAATAAACCCAGATATAAAAACTGAATCTTTTGATGATAATTGATTATGAAATTACAATGTGATAGTAGAGGCTTACCTGAGAAGAGGAGAATGATGAGAACAGTGATGAGCCAATAGGGGAAAACAACACTTAGAGCTACACCAAGAGTGATTCCAAGCATGAGCATAGGTTGAAACAGAAGTGCTAAATCATAATCCAGAATTGGTACTTCTCTGCATGGATGTGGTACTCTTAGATTGTACCAAACTGATGATGCTGATGCCCCCATTATCATACCTTCAACACAATCAACAAAATTCAATCATCAACTCAAATCAAACACAGATTTTCTTCCTAAAATACCCAATTAGAAACACTTCTTTCCAAATCAGTAATCAGAAACTTTAAGAATGGTCATAATCCCTTCTTATAACCTCAAGAAACAGAGTATAAACCTCTTTTCTGATCAATGTCATATGTTTTAGATTCTAATCGCATTATTCTGATATGAACTTGAAAAAGAGAGAGTTAAAACATACACTTAGAAAGAGCAGCAGCAGACTTGGTATCAAAACCAACAATCAAAGTCAACATGGGAACAAAAATGCCACCACCACCAACACCACCAACTGTTCCACATGCAGAACCCAAGAACCCTATCACTGTTGCCAACACAATTCTCCAATTGAACTCCAATTTCTGTAATCAAACACATCGAAGGTCAAAATCCATCGTCTCAAAACCATTATAAACTAAAAAAAAAACCGCACTGTAATCAAGAATAACGAATGTATTGTGGATGATATAAAGAACAAAACTCACAGGCCAGACTTTTTCGTCGGATCGAGGAATGAGGGAATTTGGAGAAGAACGGAGAAAAGGGTATTGGTTTTTGTGATTATAATTGCCGGCGACGACGTAAACGGAGATAATGGCGATGAAGAAACCGATTGATAGACACGAAACAAAGCCTCGTGTCGCCATGGATGCTTCTTGCTGTGTCTGTTGTTCGTTAGGCGCTCATTGCCAACTGTGTGGAACATGTAAACCTTCGTATGATGGCGTCCATTTATGGAGTCCCGAAGGAGGAGGTGCGGTGTTTCACGTGAGATTCGAATTTGGCAAATTCAACAAATTATAAATCACTCTTTATATTCCTTCCATTAAAAATAAAAAATAAAAAATAAAAAGATATTCTTTTAGGATCCTTTCCATTTAAATGTATTTATTTCATCACAAATATATTCTTTTACCTTGTTTACATTATATGATCGATATTCTTATTATCGACTCTTGATTTAGAATTATCTTATTGATTAAGAAATAAACTATAAGACTGTTAAAAATTGGTTACTACATCTATATTATATTATAAATCATTTGACAAAAACTTTTAAAAACTATTTTTTATGCATAAAATACTGTTTATTGATACATATTACTTAAAATTTAATATTACAAGTAAATTATGCGTGAGTATAATTTATTAAGGCTTTATTTTTGAATTCGTGTAAGTAACTGCAGATAAACATAATCAAATACATGATAAACATCTCATCTTAAATATAAAAAATTAAAATATAATTAGGATAATCATTAAATTTTAACATAATATTTTGTTATCATCCTTCTAAAAATTATATTATTAAACAAAAATAAATAACTTTGTCATTAAATCTAAATTAAATTATAATAAAAATTGAAATAAAGAAATTACATGAAAAAGGAAAACTTTTAAATAATTAATTTAATATTAATATCAATACTTTTTCTTTTTTAAACTTATATTTCATTCAAAAATAAAAATATTATCGTTTTCTAAAACCTATATAAAACTGTATTATATCGACAGAGAAAATCAATAAAATGAAACACTAAAATTAAGATATCTCGATGCATTGTGCGAGTACCCTTCTAATATTTTTTTAACCCATAAAAACTACCTGTTACTGTCTAAAAAGATTTAAAAGTAAAAAAAATCTGACTCGCCAACTTAATCGATGATGCCGTCATCGATTAAGTGTGTGGGATTTGAATAATGTTGGGATTTTAAAACGGTAAAACTAATTTAGGTTTCTTTTCTACTTCAAAACCATTCTAGCATTTTATAAGGTAGTTTTTTGGATTAAAATGATATAGTTAATAATTTTTAAAAGTTTGATGGTTTATTTATTAGAAAAAACTGTACAGGAACTTAATCATTCAAAGTAAGAAAATTTATTGATTTGTTCATTTAAGAAAAGTTCAAAGACTCGTTAGTTATTCAAAATAAATAGTTATCCATTTAATTTTTGAACTCTATAAAACTAATTAATAACTAGTTGATAAACACTATTAAATATAGGATAATTATCGATCCCTTGTAATAGGAGATTATACATCATGATTATCTTTATTCACAAAAAATATGTCATTATTATCTTTATTCGCATACAAAAATCATCATTGTATTTATCTACACAAAAAAAACTACTATTAAATAAATTATACCTAAAAACAAGAATTTTATAAATTTTAACTTATCAATATCTATACTATATTATAAAACATTTGACTAAAACTCTTAAAAACTCTTAAAACTCTTAAAACTCTTAAAAACTCTTAAAACTCTTAAAATTCTTAAAAACTCTTAAAACTCTTAAAAACTCTTAAACSCGTTCATCCCTATCCGATTTCATCCCATATCTGAATTCGTATAACTAACTGTAGATAAACACAATCAAATATAGGATAAACATCTCATTTTAAATATAAAAAATCTAAAATATAATTAGTATAATCATTATATTCTAACAGAATACTTAATTATTATCTTTA